ATCTCGGGAGCTTCTCTCCATTTCCGCGTCCGATTTCCTGTCTTTCCTTCCCCAAAAATGTCGAACTTGACCCGTTTCAGAGGCGTCGCGCGTAGAAAATAGAACCGGCGCGTAAAGGCCGCAACATGCTGCTCCTGAGACATGGCCGACTCGAGCTGCTGACGGCTGCCGACGGCTCCAGTGGAAAAGGTTCTGTTGACCACAGCGGTTCCTATCAGCGGCTATGACGTGCTGCTGCAGTAACGTGCTGCTGACGGCTCCTGTGGAAAGCCGGGGTAACCCCGGGTTTCCACAGGAGCCGTCAGCAGCACGTTACTGCAGCAGCACGTCTTGCTTGCGTAAACTGCTGCTTGGCCCTTGCCAAGAGACGCGAAGCAGCAGGGGAGCAGCTGTCACCGACAGAGCACGAAGTCACACGAGTGACTTCGTCAGTAAACACAACAACAAGCAGGAGAAAATTACAACATGGTTTGTGTTTTATGTTCTGTCCGTTTTATAATCGCCAATATGGACCTGAAAAACAAAGGAGACCGCTAGCTAGGTGATAACTTCTCACGGGGACCTTTTTTAAAAGTAAAGCAACCGGAAGGCAGTACATTCTTTATTCTGAAAATCTCGGTAGCTTCGCTCCGTTTCCGCGTCCGATTTCCTGTCTTTCCTTCCCCAAAAATGTCGAACTTGACCCGTTTCAGAGGCGTCGCGTGTAGAAAATAGAACCGGCGCGTAAAGGCCGCGACATGCTGCTCCTGAGACGCGGCCGACTCGCGCTGTTGACGGCTGCCAACGGCTCCAGTGGAAAAGGTTCTGTTGACCACAGCGGTTCCTATCAGCAGCTATGACGTGCTGCTGCAGTAACGTGCTGCTGACGGCTCCCGTGGAAAGCCGGGGTAAGAGGAACTGGGATTTAAAAAAAAGAATATTAGAACCAATAAAAAACAAAGATGTATCTCAGTACGAGGAGTGAGTTTATGGAATAACCTCGAGGATAGATTAAAAAATTCATGCTCGTTGAAAATATTCAAAAAGAGTTTTAAAAATAATGCCTTACGCAATTACCAAGTGCTCCAAAATTAGTTTTTTTCACACGTTTATACCTCTTGATTGATTTCAATTGATTTTGTTTTATTCATGTTTATACCTCTTGATTGATTTTGTTGAAATTAGGATGATGCATGTAATAACTGTATTGTTTATATGTTTATTTACTTTTGATATTTATGAAAATGTTGATTTTTTTTAATGAATTAATGGGTAGGCTTTAATAAGTTTAACTTCAGCCTATACCTTTTCGCTCATAAATTATATCTAAAGAAACTGTTTAACTTACAAGAGGAATTTGTACCTGTGATAATTATTGTTATGTTCTTTATTAGATAATTATTTTCCTTTTCATGTGTTTTATATGTATTTGTTATGACGGAAAAATAAATACAATACAATACAATAATGCTGTGTTAATTAATGTCTTGTTGTCTACTGTACCCATTAGGGTTAGGGTTCTCTAACCCTAACAGTGCTTTCACATACTGACTCATAGCTGGTTGACCACTTTTTGTTATCTATTCAATGCCTCATACACTAAGGTTGCGTTCACACTGCAGGCAAAGATGCTCAATTCTGATTTTTTGAGTAAATTGATTTTTTGGTGTGGTCGTTCACACTAGGACTGAAATGTGACATCAAACTCCGTGGCACCAAAGTGACCCAAATGCGCAGAAGACAAGAAGTCACACTCAGTGAAGAAACCAGGAGTGGTGGAGTTGTGAAGTAATCCTAATCCTGTAGATAAACTGTCAGTGAAAACTTTCACACCTGTTAATTCTTCTGTTTTGAGCTGGAAACTTTTAAAACTGTAAACTATTTTACTCCTTGTTCCCGCCGTCTCCCTGAATTATTATTCACCAAAAATGTTCCGGTATTCATTCATTCATGGAGAATCCCCCTCACAGAAACAGTCGCTTTCAGAAACATCAGATATGTGTCAGAATCAGTACCACGTATTCCAGTGACACGGATCACATTTAAAAAAACGGATCTGTGTATTCAGACCAGGCCCCCACAATGCGGCTTTAAAATTGAGGCCAACCCAGAAGTAAGAAAAATTGCAGTTCCACCCTCATCCGCTGGGGGCTGGTATCAGAAGCGAGCAAATCCTCATTGACTCCCATGTTAAAAATACCAATTTCACAGCAGAAATAAACATGTTTACAGCCTGGTACCAAAACATGTTTTTGGTTTAAATGATCTAGTTTACACTCATGACAACTCTGAGGGGGGTGAATTTTTTCTCACTCTTCTGTTTAAGTGTATTAAAAGCCTAAAATTCTGTATAATTAATGAGCATCAGACCCACGTGACCGCAGAGCTAGCTCCGTGGAAAGGCCTCAGCCTCGGTCTGGCTTGGAAACTTCTCAAGGATTTTGAGTCTCTGTGTTTGTGTATTCTTTTTTGGATATTTTTTGTGCAATTGTTGGACAAAATGACTTGCACTAATCGAGCGTCCAAGGAGTCTCCACTTCATTTTTTTCGGTAAGTAAAATTATATTTATGTATTTTAGGTCACTGCCGAGCTGAGCTTAGATTTTAACATGTACTGTTTAACCATGAAATTTAAATGTAATAGGGTAAAACCCAGTGCATTTAACATAATGCTGCACTTTAGAAAATGGGTTGAAATATAACATGTTGGTGGAGCTGGGTTCCGACTACCGGCTTGTGGAGCTCTCGGGAGACCGATGTTTTCCACCCGGACTGCCGGCTGTTTCTACCCGCAGCCCAGTCCATCTCTGCCTGATCGCGGCTTCTGTTAGCTGCGGAGGGCTGACGGCTGGTTCTCCCAGCAGCTCGGCGCATCGCTGTCTGATCACGGCTTCTGTGTGCTGGGGTGGGCTGATGGCTGGTTCTTATGGCAAGCCAGAACCGCCAAAATACGCCACTTCTCCCCGCAGCTCAGCGCATCTCTGTCTGATCGTGGCTTCTGTGTGCTAGGGCCTGCACGACTTTATTTTTTTTAAAGTCTACAGTCAAGTAATGAAAGTCGAGTCGACTTCGACTAGTCGTTGATGACGTCATACGGGGGGTCGGTCGGTAGGTTCGCTGGAGTTTTTGACAATTAAAATTGCGCCCACATTTTCTAAGTTAACACATCTCTTTTAACAACCGTAGTTTCTGCTTCAGCCCTCTCCCCCCTCCCCCTGCGCAGCAGCCGCAAACTCACTGATGCGCCTGCAGCCTCTCGGAGTTCCTGCTGCTCTAAACATTAAAATAATTATTTCATTTTCTGTTCCTCACTTCTGATTACCTTCATTGGTGTCTGTTTGTTGCAACCACCAGGTTCAAACACTAACTTGTTTTTATTTGACTATTTTTCTGTCCTGCCTGTTTATTATCTTCCTGCATCTCCTCTCAATCCTAAAGAAAAACTGCTACCTGGGTTCATATATATTCACCTTATGAGTTACCTTTGAACTGCAGTTCTAAAAGATCTACCGACTGCAAAAACAGCGGAGTGCCGCTGCTCGCCGGCCGACTACAACGGGACCGTTTTTGATGCGGAGTTCATGCCGGAGCGGAGCGGAGTGGAGATAGTGGAATCTTGGGGGTGCGTCACCGGAGGACAAGGTGATGCGCCTCGCTCCGCAGCAGCGAAACGCATCAGGCACAAATAACAGACAGAAAAAATGAAAGGAAATGAGCCGACATGAACGATCGCGTGTTTAATTTGTTTTTGAGGTGGTGACACCTGATTTGGCGGTGCTCAGGACGCAATGTCTGGAGTGCACGTCAATGATCAGAGCTTTGCATGCGCAAACTGGTTAAGATTAGGATGGGGGTGAGGGGAAGGTTAAATTGCAAGAGGGAAAAGGTCACAGTTTGGTTAAATGTCCGTTTTACCGCCGGTGTCAGTATCGCACAGCGCGTCGCCTCCGCCTCGATCCAGACGCGCAGGGGCTCATCACCTGCTGTCTTTTCCGAGGACTGCATCTTGTCAGTCATTATCACGTGACAGCGACTAGTCGATGACAGGCATAAAAAGTCACTACAGAGCCGTGAAGTCGACTAGTCGACTAGTCAACTATTTCGTACAACCCCTACTGTGTGCTGCGCGGGCTGATGGCTTGTGGAGCTCTGGGATGGAAACCTTTCCACCCGGTTCTCCCCAGCGGCAGCTCTGCGCATCTCAGATCGCAGCGGCGCTTGTCTGCTGTGCGGCTGCCGGCCTGTGGAGCTCTCGGAAACCTCTGTGTTCCACCCGGTTTTACCCAGCGGTCAGCCCGGCGTATCTCTGACTCAGAAGCTCTGGTGTTGTGCACAGTTAACTCTGGTTGTAGCTAGGTTGCTACCTCCGTTACCTTAGCTCCCACCTCTGCATTAGCTTTGGGTTAGCTTCAGGTTAGCTTGTAGCTAGTTCGACCGGGTGTCGTCAGTTGATCCCAGCCTTACAGCCCCACCCTCAGCTCCACCTCTCTTCCCTTTTATGGAATTGTCTGGGCTTGACGGAACCTGTGACACGGTCAAAATGGCGGTGGTGGCCACCTCCCATTTTAGTAGAAAAACTTGTTATTGGAGCTATGGAAACCCATTGTCCATATATTAATGTCGATGGTTCAGACTGTGGATTTAATGCGCTTTTGGCTGCAGTGTGAGTGTAGCCTAAGTAACTCCTTGGCACCCTGCCTACCTACTCAAAGTACTGAATTTGTGTTAGTGTATGGTTTGCACTATTTCTGTTTTCACCTCCGCCCTCCCCAAACCGGTTCCAACTCACCTTCAGTCTCCTACAGTAGCTATAGCTTTAGTCCCTCCCCACCACTAGCTGTAAAGCTGTTTTATTTACTGTTTTGTTGTTTACTGTGTGCTTGTTTTTGTCTGTGGAGTCCTTTGTGACTTGTGTCTGAAAAATGCGATATAAATAAACAACTTCTTCAGTCTTTAATGATTCTTTCTTCTAGACCAACATAAAAATGAACACAAATGACCAAGATGTGCCGAAACCAGACCTGCTGAGCTGTTGCTGAAGCTGGTCCAGCCGTGAGTCCAACTGGCTGAGTTGCTGGTGGCTCATGCGGTGTAGTGGCTTGTTTAAAGGCATAGGCGAGCCCAGGCTGCAGCAGGCGACCTCCTGGTACTGGCTGCCCCATCGACTCTGTCCCCAGATACTGAATGGATTTGGCACCTCTGAAAAGGCACCTATAAAGGGAGAAGTGTTTCACAGTAAGGGATTTAGAATTTTGAAAGACTCTCAGGAACGTTTTAGTTGTAGTTAACCTGATAGAGCATTGCGTGTGTTCCCAGTCTTTGGGTCCCCATCACCATCAGTCTTCTCACTGTAGCTCCTGGGTGGTGCATGAACCTTTAAGTTCTCGAGAACTGTGGGTGGTGGAACAAGGCCTCTCACAACAGACTTGTCCTGTAGAAGCAGGGCCTAGCTCTTATAGCAACCACAGAACATGAAGCGCATGAATCAATGTAAACTAACCTCATCCCCACTGGAAGGAGGAGACACTAAGCTTGCATATGTCCCACTGTGTCTCTCTTTATCTCTGTGGTTGTTGGCTGCCTCCCTCTGTTTTCGCCTTGTAGATTTATGGAACTTCTTTATTTCTCCAGTGTCTGCATCATCTGGACAAGAATGACAAGACCAGCTTAAAGCAAATAACCAGTGAGTCACACGGACAAAGATAACTAGAGCAGACATCATCTTGTGTGGTTGTACAATTTACAGCCATCATAGGCATGAAATAACCTTTTTCTGTACGTCTTCGAAATGATAATTTCTGCCTTTGTAGTTTACTGAGTGTCCCACAAGGAGAGTCACCACTGCTCGGTGAACCTGGGATCATATTTGTCTGAAATGAACAATAGTGATGGATCATCAAGACATGAACTTTAACACGGTCTGTTCGACCCTTTAGAGAACACACAGCTTGTGTCTGCTGTAACTACAGTCTACTCACATCTCTGAGATCGAAGGTGATTTCCAGGTTGTTCCAGAAATGATCTGCAAACTCAGGATACATGTCCAGCACCTCCAACACATCCTCTCTTAAAATCTTATGGAGATCGCAGTAAGTTAGAGCTCTTACGTCAGCATTCGATTTACCAGGTTGGCAATACAGGTTGAGTGGTTCGCCAAAGATGTCATTCTTCCCTGTGAAAAAAGAAGAGGATATGTATGAAGAAGGCTTTATTTAAGAGTGTAGTAAAATAAACTATGATTTACTTTGAAACGTTCCATATACCTTGGGTTCTAACAAGAAAACCTGTCAGATAATTATTTTACCTAAGATAGCAACCACCACATCTCCTCTGAGTATCTCAATAGATCCTCTGGAAATGAAATAAAGGGCAGTGAGGACATCTCCAGCATGGACCAGCGTGTCACCAGGGGGCGCGTGGGTGGTCTTGAACTTCATGGCCAGTGCCCTGAGGCAGCCCTTGGTAGAACCCTTAAAAGCTTTACAGTTCTGCAGCAGTGTTCGGTTCAGATGGAGGCAGATATCTGCCTGCAGACACTCTGGGAAGCCCTTAAGGACCTAGAGGGAGGAAAGCAAGGCAGTGTGGGATGGAATGCATAAAAATAAAGGAAAGCAGAGCAGAAAGAAAAAGAAAAGAAGAGGAGGTGCAAAGCCAGTGACGGTTGGGTAACTTTCATAACCAGCTATTTTACATGTGTGAATCTATAGTCTGGCCATGACCAGTAGACAGTGTTCAATCGTGGGGCGGATTCTGCAGTTGTCTTTCAAACTGTGTCCCCATAGTATTGAACAACAAACAAAGTGACGTACTCACCATTACGGATGTCAGTCAACGGGACAGTAATCCAATGTAAAGTCTGGAAAAGGGCCATTTTGACCTATACATTGACCTACGTACTGACCGGTCACCTACAGACATAAGTCCACTATCTAGGTGGATTTTCTAATCTACATTCTAACACCCAGAAGATGCTGCAGTGCTTTTTGACGGTCCATGAAGACCAGATTGTCAAACTTATCTCAGACTGCTGGATTCCACACTCTGAATGAAAAGTGAACTTTTCCAACTCATAAGTTAAATAATCATAAACAATGGCATGGTTGAATAAACCAGATGTTATATGAAATGTTTGACTAATCTGTGCCTAATTCAGTGAAGTTGAAATGAATATTGTCTTACAATGATCCATTTATGTCTTATGATCAGTAATGTTTGATTTATCAAGTTAATCATTATCTACACTCATACACAATGTTCATTAGATGTAAATTAAGGTTAAGGTTATCTCACATAAAGTTTAAAGATTCTTTATCCACAGAAATAGAACATCTTACATCTGGATGGTGTGGTTTTCTGACGGAAGTTTGGTAATGCCTACAGCACGTCAAATTCTGATTTGCAGAAATGATGACAAGTGAATTATTAAAACTAGAGTGACTTCCCGAGTTATTCAGCTTCGAGCGGAACTCCAAAGTGGCCAATTCGGAACCAGCCTCCTTGAGACACCCCTCTCTCTGACACACCATCAAACCTGTTGGCACACTGCCAGCTGACACAGCCATATGGCTTCTTAAGAGCCATCCGTCTTAGTCGCAACGAGCCTTCCTGCTGTTGTGACCCGGAGACAACTCGAGACCGGACTGGTCGCTCTGCTGTTATTCTACGAACTTCGGTGCCTTGAGGTCCACCCAACTTCCTGACATTCTGGATCTGACGGGGGTCTGCGATCAGGGTTTGAAGACACAACAGATTGCGTCTGATGTTGTTTTATTAATAATCAACTCTCTAGTTTATAGCAGACAACAAATTCTTTTACACCCAGAATTCACAATCTCTTTCAGATACAAAGGTTCTTATACACATCTACTTTACACCACCTACAACACACATTACATCACCGCATATACACTGCATGGTGGCACAGTGGTTAGCAGGTTCGAAACTAAGCTGCGGCCTTTCTGAGTGGATTTGCGTGTTCTCCCCATGCATGCGTGGGTTTCCTCCGGGTACTCCGGTTTCCCCCACAGATCACAACATGCCCTATAGGTTATAAATTGTAAGTCGCTTTCGATAAAAGCGTCTGCTAAATGAATAAACATAAACATATACACTCCATCATATATTCATCATTATTCATAGCTTGTCATGTATTATCATTAGTTTAGAAAAGAATCAGATTCCTTTTAACTATATACTTGACTCTGAATTGATACGATGTGTGTTTATGGTCCCTGAACAAGCAAAGAATAAATCTATCAGTATGGTTATGCAATGCTGTAAGCTGCAAAATAGATAAAAGTAACGTAACATTTTACAGGTTTCCAGCTGTTAAAATACGACAAAGAAAATAACAGCCATTCAGACAATTCTAGTGGGAAAACCACCCAAATCAGGGCTGACTAAGTCTTCTGACAGAATAAAAAAGTGAAATATAGTCATGAAGTCATCGGAGCGCCGGGTCCTGCAACACCTCGAGTTCTCCACCTCTCCCCTCCTGGACCCCATGCAGTTTGCATACAGAGCCAATCAGTCTGTAGACGATGCCGTCTACCTGGCCCTCCACTTCATCCTCCAACATCTGGATGTACCAGGAACCTACGCCAGGGTCCTGTTTGTGGACTTCAGCTCTGTGTTCAACATCACACAGAAGACAGTAGAGATGATGGTGGACTTCACGAAAGTCACAGCTTCCCTGCCTCCCCTTGCCTTCAACAAGATTCCTATCGTCATCACAGACTCCTTTCGTTTCCTGGGCACCCCACACAGGACCTCATGCGGGAGCCGACCATCAGCACCGTCATCAAGAAAGCTCAGCAGAGGTTGTTCTTCCTGCGACAACTGAAGAAAGCAAAGCTGCCAGTCCAGATGATGGTGCAGATCTACACTGCCACAACTGAGTCCATCCTCACCTCCTCCATCACTGAGTGGTTCGCTGGGGCTACTGTCAGGGACAGACAGAGACTGCAATGCATTGTACGCTCAACCGAGAAGGTGATTGGCTGCAGTCTTCCATCTCTCCATGAGTTGTATGCCGCAAGGGCTCGAGGGAGAGCACGCCGAACTGCAGCCGACATCTCTCACCCTGGCCACGGACTGATTGAGACGCTTTCATCTGGCAGGAGGCTACCATCAGGACCAAAACCTCTCGTCACAAAAACAGTTTCTTCCCCTCTGCCGTGTGTCTCAAGAACACTTGGCAATACCCACATTAACCTGCACATTACGTACCAGTCACTGTAATAGTGTGTTTGCACTGTTCATCCTGTTGCTAACTGTACATATTATTTGTCATTTATTACCTACTGTGTGTTTTTTACGTGTGCTCATGTTGCACCTTATCACTGAAACAAGTTCCTAGTCAGTGAGCTGCGTTCAATGACAATGGCAATAAAAAATCTTCTGATTCTGAAATTTCTGACCGACTCTAACTTGTTTGTATCCAGACATGAACCATCTAATGACTTATAAGCTTTAAAATAAGTATGCGTGGCCGCGGGGCGCGAGTAGCCCAGGGACAACCGTCCGACCAAGCAGCAGAAACAGCAGCGAGGAAGCGCTGTGCTGCAGATTAGTCGTGAGAAATAAACGAGTGTGAAAACTATGTATGAGACATCGGTGTTGTGTGTAGTTTTCTGTGACCCCTGGTAAGGATGTTGTTATAACAATTACACAAAATGTGTTGTGTAATGGGAGCAGGCAGTCTCTAATGTCATTGTTTTTGTGTTGGTCTCTCTCTGTGTTGTTAGTGGCATTAATATATTGCTCTCCTAAATACAACAATTCATTCCTAACTGAATTTGCTGAATTGTTGGGGGAGTGTACGCCACACGAGGTACTAGAAAGAGTGAAACCCTTATAGACCTGATTTTTCCAAATAGACCAGAGAGAGTAACAAACATATACAATCATATTACTGTCCTTTTAGATCATAATATGACATTGGTAATAAGAAAACTAACAAAAAAGTTGTTAGTTTATCACAAGAAAACAGAAAACCATACTTGAACTACTGGAATTCCCAAGTCAAAAAGGCTTGACTTTGAACATGATCTAAAAAAAACTAATTGGGAAAGTGTAATCAGAGAGCCTGATACAGACCAGAGAGCAAGCAGTTTTATCTTGACCCCTTCAAAAACAAGTTTGGACTCATCTCAGCCTAAAAATTACAGACTCATTTCTAAATTACCCTTTATCTCTAAAATATTGGAAAAGGTTATAGCAGATCAACTGATTACTTTTCTAGAACTACACAACAGTTTTGATCAATTCCAGTCTGGTTTTCGTAAAAAGCGTTCAACAGAAACGGCTTTGCTTAAAGTTTCCAGTGACATCATGATGGCTGCAAACAACGGGGAGTTCACAGTGTTAGTATTATTAGATCTTTCTGTGTCAGGCTCGGAGCAGGAGGAGTAGGACCCAAGATGCAGAGCACCAGACGACAAGAAGCAGGAGTAATTGAAAAAAGGTATAATCCTTTATTTAGGGAAATAATCCAAAAATCACAGACAGGAAGCTGAGCCAGGTAGCAGGAACAAACGAAAAATTCAGAAGGTCACTTAACTGAGCAGGAGACTAAGGTTTACATGGGGGGAAAAAACACGCTGACAACAACAATGGACCGACAAACACTGAGGGACAAGACAGGGTTTTTAAACACAGAGGGAGGTGATCAGGGGAACAGGTGACGGGTGTGAGGAGTGAGATTCTGGAGGGAAGGCAGGTGATTTCAATAAACTAAATAGGGGAAAAGAACTAAGCAGGAGGGAAGATGAACATTAACCTATAAAACACAGCGTAACTAAACCTAAAGACTAAGGGCAAATATAAACAACTAATAAGTAGAGGGATGAGGAGGACTTATATGAAAATAGGAATTACCAGGGAGAGACTAGAAGGAAACCTGAGGGAAGCCTAGAGAAAGCTGGGGGTGATAATGAGACACAAGAGGAGAACCGGGAGTGAGAACAGGAGGGGGCTGGGGACCAGAGGGACACAGAACATGACATTCTGCAGCTTTTGACACTGTTGATCACAGCACCTTAATTAACAGACTTGGTGACTCGGTGGGGATCTCTGGAACTGTTCTAGACTGGTTTAGATTGTACCTTTCTAACAGAAGTTACAGTGTATGTATAAACCAAATCATGTCAGATTCTACTGAGCTGTTCTGTGGGGTACCCCAAGGCTCTGTTTCGGGTCCACTGTTGTTTCTGCTGTACATACACCCTCTTGGACAGATAATGTATTCTTTTCATAATGTCTCTTATCACCTATATGCAGATGATATTTAGCTGTACTGCTCCTTTAAGGATTCTGAGTTCTGTAAACTGTCTGAATTACTAGAGTGTCTGTCAGCTACCACCAGCTGGCTAGAAGATAACTTCCTTCAGTTAAACTCTGAAAAGACTGAATGTCTGACCATTGCCCCCTGAGAGCATGGTTCCCCTGATTAGTCTAAAACTTGGTCATTTATCCTCTGCAGACAAACTTAAGAAATTTGGGTGTTATTTTTGACCAATCAATATCTCTTGAAGATCACTCAAAAATGTTGGTCCGA